TGTACGCCGGGAACAACCTGCTCCGCAAAACTTCAATCCGTTGGAGCATCTTTTGGCTTATACTCCATCTGGTCACTTAATTCAATATGAGTTGATGCCCTCATTTGGTGGAGAACAGGGTGACTCTTATCTGAGAACCGGGACTGCTTCAGTAGTTCAAATGCAAGAGGATGACGCTGGGGTGAAAGTTGACTCCATTCAGTGGTGGGATGTTTGTCGAAGAGCTGATTGGCCTGAAAGGGAGGAATGTATTCATGGCATTACTATAGGTGGCCGTGAAGTAACAGACATTGTCATGGGAGATTCTCTTTCTGAAGATGATGATACAGGTGAAAAGGATTCTGCTAAACTATGTGACCGGTCCCATTGGTACCTTTCCAATGCTGAGGTGCAGTTGAAGTCTGGGAGGATACCTGTTTGGCAAAAGTCCAAGGTTATCATCTCTTGCGGAAATTGTGTCTGGTTCCTCTATACTTTTGAATATATGTACTGATATTATTTGTATCTGTTCTAGATATACTTCTGTACCATGAGTCTTTCTGGATATGAAGAGCAGGATCTCTCTGGAAGTTTTTCTGCTGGGGAGATTGAGATTGAGAAGATTCCTGTCAATGAGGTCGAAATAAGGCGTAAAGATCTACTGCCTGTGTTTGACCATTTCCACAGAATTCCATCAAAATGGTCTGATGATAGGTAATGCAATAGCTATTATGGATCCTTTGCTCATTTTGTAGCACTGAGACTTTTATGTTCGTAAAGGTTGAATTGATCCAGACCAAATGAGATAGGGTGTTGGAAAATTGGGTTTTACTTTGCATTATCTGCATGATGCAGAGTTGAGGCCTACTGCTTTAGGACTGAGTAAATGTTGTTTTCAGTTTTCGATGGCATTGTATGTGTTCTTTAACGTTGATAAATTGGTCTTGAAACTTCTTTTTTGGGTGATAATTGTTGTGTCTTACTAGCTTGTGCGCAACTTTTCTATTCCACCGAGTTCCTGCTCCCACCAGCACAAGTATCGGGTAACTCTTCCCACCAATGCTTAGACATATTGGAAGAAATTATTTAGTGTTCTTTGTCCTTGTGGGATTTGAACCCTGATCTCCAAGGTTTGCCCCCACTAGGCCATACTGCAGCTCTTGAAACTAGTTTTAATGTTGATATTTCGCAGTCTCTTCAGCTTGGGTCTTTGGCAAGTAGACGTCCGTAATAATTATCCATTGCAGTTATGTTTTAGTATCCAGTGAACTCAGACCCAACAAAACCTGAGCAGAGAAAGTGATTTACTGGATCACTAGTTCAACAATTAGGTGGCATAATGTTTTTCTACCTTAGCAGAGGAGAATGACTTTGAGGAATTCTGCCTTGACTGAAGAGTTCTGTCTAGAAATGTGTATGAGATTGATCTTTTCTATATCCTTTCAGGTTCAGCCTTAATGGTGGTCATTTGGTCATTGTACTTATCTGTGGTTGTGAATGTGTCCCTATCATTATTAGTTCTGATTGGTTTTGTTTATAACTTGAGTTGCTGGACGCAAGAAGTTAAAAATAGGTGGAATAGGCGGATAACTTTTCGAAGCACCTTTGTAGGCATGCAGTGAAGCTGGTTTAAATTCTGTTCATCGTCCGATATGTCACCGATTGTATAGATATTGAAGTGATTTAAGTGAATGTACAGAAGTCGATGATTTGTATGGAGATAAGCCGTCGTGTCTCTTGCATTATACAGCTTTCGTTTGCTTTTAGTCCTCACTTTTGGTTTGGATAATTTCCATTTCATACCAAATAGGGTTCTGGTTGCCCGTGGTTTCTTTTGTGATTAGTTAAATCATGGAAGCTTTATGCGGCTGTTTAATACTTCTCATGTTTGTGTAATACTGCCCCGTGTATTAAGAAAATGGAAGTTACAAATCGCTCTATCTGTGGTCTCGGAGAAATGTGAACCCCTTTTTTCAACTCTCATCTCAAAAATTGTGTCTAGACCTTTAAAAAAATTTGAAGTTAAAAAAGTCAGTGTTATTGGCAAAGATTGATGAGTTACTGCCGAATGGCTGTTCAATGTCATCCAGAAAATGCTCCAGTCTATTCTTGCTCATAGGGGTCAACTGGTTCATATTGTTAGAGCAAGTTCTGCATTCTGCATTTTGTCATTGTCTCCTGATTCTCAGTATAACCTTTTGCATGCAATTGCAGTACACTGACGATTTACAGTGAAAGATCGGAAGAGAAGAACTTTATATGTTTCATTGTTTCTGACATGTGTAACATACTATAACTGATCCTAGTTAGTTACACGTAGATCGTTAATATGGGTCTCTACTTCAGTGTTGCTGAACATTTGTTTGTGGCTTGCGTAAATCCTAAAACTAGATGCAATGATAGGTTTTCCGCTTTCTCTTGCTTAAACGATACGTCAGTGCAGGCACCAATATACTGAGGCATGCTACTCAGCACCCATGGACTCTGTTTTGTAGAGACGTTACTAAACGATAAGTATAGTAGATATATTAATTGTTAAGGAAATCATTATAGATGAATATGTTATTTGAAAAAAAAATATAGTGTCTTATAATTTGTCTTTGAATTAGACACTTAGAAAAATTACATCTTCTGTATATGAATCACAAATTATGATTTAGGAACTTGATTGACATGGTTTTACTTCATGTATTTGGCTTCATCATTAGGTTTTCAGTTCATTTGTTCATATAGTTGTGATATGTTTTTTGGTCATTTTCTTGTAGCTCTCTCTCTCTCTCTCACAATAGTTGGTATATCTTACTATACAGTGTTATGCAGTCAAAATAATGTTGAGTCTTTTCTTCCATTATTCAGCTCTGCCATGGGTAAAGAAAAGTCAGGAGACACCACAACTGGTATTNAATAGTTGGTATATCTTACCATTATACAGTGTTATGCAGTCAAAATAATGTTGAGTCTTTTCTTCCATTATTCAGCTCTGCCATGGGTAAAGAAAAGTCTGGAGACACCACATCTGGTATTGCCAGGGCAGACTCGCTCTCTGAGAAAAGCTTTCCTTCTGGTAAGACTGTTCGACTTTTTTTAAGCATTAATAGTTGTTTTATGGTTGAATTTTTCTCTGCTTTGTCTAAGATATATGCTTTCAGGGTCTTCACAAGTTCCTGGTTTACATGAAGTTGGCGTGGGTCCAATTTCTTATCCATGTATTGAACTATCTTTGGAAGAAAATGATGGGTTGAGAAGCTCTAGTTATTCTGTAGCCCCACAAGTGAGTAACAAAGTGCAGGCTGGTCTAGAATCATCCCCAAATATCTTGTGCTCCGTTGAGGAAAGCTATGTTTTAAACAGTCCGTCTCCTCCCAAAATTGAATCCTTCTCCACCCGAGGAATAAGTGCAAGAGAGGTTCAGTCTTCAAACAGTGTTGTTACTAGTGAAGCTTCAAACTCAAGTTCCAATCGTTCCGACATGAGTATGAACATTATTGACGAACAAACTGTTCATGAATATATATGTGACCCTGTAGATTTTGGGCAATTTTTTCAAGAAGGCTACTGTAAGGCTTCAACTAACAATGAATTAAATGAGGTAAATGAACTGGTTGCTGATATGGATAGCAGTAGTAGTCCTTGCGACAAAGAGAAACCTGATGATGATGGGGAAAGCGATGATATGCTGGGAGGTGTGTTTGACTTCTCTGAAGAAGGTGAGTGAGATTAAGAGGGTTTTATCTTGTGGAGTTGCTTATTTCTTTGTCCCTCCATCCTTTTTCTTTGTTACTTAACATAATTTTTCATGAACCTGTGAATCTTTTTCATGCAATACCATTTAGCGTTTAGGCCAAAAAAATGTTTTATAGATTTAATCTATCACAATAGGACAGATAGAAACTTAAAAGATCTAGTACAATAGAGCAGATAGACCTTAGGTAGTCCCCTATCAGGGCTTTCTCTATTTCTTTGACAGTATCGAGCATCTTCTGAACTTTTAGTTGCAAAGGTCATTATTGTTTTCTTCTGTATGTAATGCAGTTACCTTTGGTTGTTGCAGGTTGATGCCCGACTCTGATCCCAGCGTCGTACCAGTCTACTCTTATTTCAATAACATTTAGTAATGCTGGTACCTGGTAGTAGGGATTGGCAAATCAATGGAACGCTTCGTATAAGCCATTGATATAGAGCTGAACATTTCGGAAGAAATCTACTGAGTGATATGTGAAATTAGTTCTTTCCTTTTGCCGGAGTGAAGATGCCTGATTCTCATGTCCAATTCTCCTGTATATGTTGTATAGTAAAATTCATGAAGCAAATGATTGGTGTGGACATGTCTTTGTCTATGCTGTGTAAAACTATGTTCCTTTTTTTTTTACATGAAAAAAAAAAAAAAGAAAACAAAAAATCAAAAAGAAGAAAATCGCCATTTATTGTACAGTTGTTTTCTGTTTCATTGACTGGGTTTGATTGGAATACTAGACTTTGTTGTTTGATGTTTATTTTGTATCAGGGATATTTTGGCAAAGTTGACAGATGTATAAGCATGATGATGAATGATAGGGAATCAGTTGCTTGATGTCGAATGGGTCGAAGTTGCTTATTATTGACAGAAAAAAGTATGTTTAGACAGTTATTCTTTGTCAATCTTAGTGCATATTGGCATTATAGCATTTGGTAGTTACACAATGCTGTTGGGTAATTGTATGATAAAGTATAACTGTTACTTCAACTCCATTTTCAGCTAATGCCATTGCATTAACTAAAATATCGCACCCGAATTCCAATTTGTCCATGTAATGTATGATAAGTTTCAGTGGTTTGATTGGCTAAATTACAACTTGACTTCTCAGATAGTTAAGAAAAAAACTAGTATTTGATAGTGGTTTGAAATTATCGTCAACCTCTTGACTTTGTTGTTGGATCACAATATCACAAGTACTATTAAAAGCATTGCCGTTGCACCCCATATAAACAAGCTCTTTGTGTTGAATTGAGAGGCCATTGCTTGAAGCTAATGCGAGTGTTACCTATTTAGTCACTGGTCATTTAGCCACATTATCAACTAATTGAAAATGCCTCAATTCTGACGAGAGCATTGTTAAGATAAACTTGTATATGGACGTACAACTAGAATATCATAAATGATTGTGTAATTGTACTTCGGTTGTCCCAAAAAAGATTACTTATAACTATCTGAGAAGTCAAATACTAGTTTTTTTCTTAATATTTCTCTGAACATCTTTAAAAGAAGTCGAAATTAAGCTCTTGATTTCAAGAAATACTTCTTCATGAAACACTGCAGGACCAAACCAGAACATCAAATTATCAATCCTCTGTTGATGATGAACATGCCATAAGCGCAACCACTACTGATTTCATAGTTGGACGCATTTGATGATCTTTCTCTGTACAAGCTTTAGCAAGCTGTGCCATCTGCGGCAAACAAGTGTTTTGATTCTTCAAAGAAACAAAGGAAAAAAAAAAGTGGTACATAGTGCAACAAAGATTTGATTTGTACCTTGTGGACTGAATCAAAGGGGTAGTTATCGCGGAGTTTGGGGTCTATCAATCTGGAAATGCCTTCAATTGGATTAGGATGATTATGAGCTTCTTCAAACTACGGAACAATCATCATTAGCTTATCAACTGGTGCAAAAATTTTATGATACCATGAAGTAGACAAAGTAACACTAGCAAGAAGCATTAAATCCATGAAAAGGTCATCTCAGTGCCAATCGATAACATTCTGTAAAGAAATATGCAGAAGTAAATTACCAAAGCAACAAGGCTTCTTGCATCATCTACACCATCTTCTTTGACTACCGCTTCCTTGGATGAAATCAATTCATAAAGGACAACGCCAAAAGCATAGACATCTACTTTAGGTGAGATAATTCCTGAACGACCATACCTGCATATTTCAGCAATGGTTATTTGCTACCATCTATCTGTGATACATCAGTTGGGGTATACCCAACTTGAGGGGGTTCAACTAACCCCCCTTCGTCGCATAAGTTCCCAGCTTATATATGTACATCATATTGTTGAAAATTTGAATTTGTAAATATATATAATTGAATTCCATTGACATAAAAATGTCTCTAGAGCAATATGATCAAGGAAGTTGATAATTTGTATGGGATCTTGTGTTCGAACTCCAGTAGCACCAGTCTGCCCTCTACCTTCTACCTCTACATCAGTTTGTTGGGTTAATTTCACCGAAGATCATCCAATTTGTCATTTATTTCACAAAAATCACTTATCTATCACTTAAAAGTCACTCAACTTTACCTTTGTAACTTAAAAGTCATTCTAGTTCAAAACTTATAAAATATTCAATAAAAAATATGACATGACATTACATTTAACTAAAAAATCTAATAAAAATGCCACATAAGCTTAAATAAACCATATTTAAGTTAGACCCATTTTTTCCTCCGCCCGATTTTGGGCAAATTTTTGAATATTAGTTTTAATTTATTTTATACGAAAAACCGACAGATTTCGGTCGGTTTCTTAAAAATTAAATTTCACTGGATTCTAAAATAGTTTCCCACATTTTTGCGCCAAAAAAAACCGACCGACTCGGTCGGTTGGCCGCAGTCGGTTTTGGCCGAATTTTTAGTAGTGAACTTCTACTATGCAATTTCATTGCGGGTGTTTCTTACCAATATTTTGACTTTAATGGAATAGTAACTTGTGAAAATAAGTTCTTATTAGCTTGTTGTTCTTGTTTGTTAGTGGTACATTTATATGTTATGTGAGATTGAAGTCGGTCGGTTTTCCAATTTTTTTATTTTTTTTTACGAAACCGACTAACTTCGGTCGGGTTTGTTTTGCGCAAAATGCGGGAAACTATTTTAGAATCCCGCAAAATTTATTTGTTAAGAATTTTTCATATAAAATAAATTAAAACTAATATTCAAAAAACTGCCTGAAATCGGGCTGAGGAAGAAATGAGTCTATCTTAGATATGGTCTATTTAAGCTTATGTGGCATTATTGTTAGATTTTTTAATTAAATGTAATGCCATGTCATATTTTTTATTGGATATTTTATATGTTTTGAACTAGAATAACTTTCAAGTTACAAAGGTAAAGTTGAGTGAATTTTAAGTGATGAAAAATAGATAAATGACTTTTGTGAAATAAATGATAAGTTGAATGACCATGGGTGAAATTAACCCTAAGTTTGTTCTCTTGGCCAAAGTGGAAATCTGTTTCTGTGTTTAACTCGGGGATGGAGCAAGGAGAACCTAAAGGAAGGAATTCATATATGTTGGAAATTTATTTGATGACCCTAACAAATCAAAGATACCATATATATGAATCAAATCTCGACGGAATTCAACTTCCTAACATTTAAGCTAGACCACTTCCAGAAAGAGATTGTTTGGAATACACCAATCATAAATGCCAACCTTGTTTCCATAAAGACCATTTATTGTCATACCCGTTATTATTAGTCCCGCCAATATTGCTGTATTTGTAAATAATAATTCTGCAAAATATAAGTTATCGTAATGAAACAGTATTCGAGCCCACTAAATTCGCAGTGTTTCCTTAAGGAATTTAATCCCCTCCTAGTACCCAAGGTAATGGATTATTTCATCCCAGGATAGAA